TTCTCCTGATGGTAGCATCCATTAAATTACCTCGCTCTATTTTCTTCCCAAATTTTCAATGGCTACAAAATTTTTAACACATAAATACTCAAGTATTTTATCATATATTAACTATTTTTATATATGAATTTGACATGAAACGAATTTGCATTTAATAAATGTAACTATTATTTATTATACTAATACACCATATTAATACTATTTAGACATTTCAATATATAGCAATACATCATATTAATATTACTTATGTCAAGCATTTCATTTAATGGATAACTAAATTTATTATTTGATAAGAAATATAAATATGGGCTTGCTTATATTATAATCTAATTTAATTTGTAGGATTATTAAGCGATTTTTGTATGAAGAAATGCTCTTATAGAGTCACACCCATCAAACGTAGTGCCCTGTCCATTAACTATCAGTAATAACTGTGAATCTTATCCTACTTTTATATTAACAACAAGCATATTTATGTACTTACATATTCCAAGAGGTTGTTGCAATCTTTAAAACTTCTAAAAGTCCATTCCTTTCTTCACGAATAATTTCAAGCAGAATGACTCTGAAGTTGTAGACATCAGATTTCACAGAAAAATGACCTTCCATGTCGTGCCCTGGAGCCATATATCCACTGCATTAATCCAAATATTAAACGATTTATTCTTCTTAATTTCAGTATAATTTAAACTCCAATGCGATTTATGATATAATTCATAGCAGAAAAATTTAGCATGCAACACTCACAAAGTCCCAGCCACTATTGTTGTATTGCTTTCATCCTGAGTGCCACAAAAACTCCTTGCCATTCCGATGTCTGAGATTTTGGGGTTCATATTTTCATCAAGAGGTATGTTGCTTGCTTTCAGATCTCTATGAACAATTCGTAGCCTTAAATCACGGTTGGGATATAGAAGCCCTCTGGATATTCCTTCAATTAGGTTGAATCTCTTCTTCCAAACTAATATCACCTTCATCCAAACCAATACTGATATTGTTCGAGGAGTACTAAGTCTATAAAAAAGAGAAATTAAGTACTTTGTAAACAAGACCAAACCCTCCTTTTCCCAATTTTATTAGAGAGATGAAATTCATTTGTTGCAGTGGCTAATGTTCTCAAACTGAATAATGGGAAATCAGGAAGTTTTCCCCACTTTGCATTGAAAGCAGCCAGAATGCTTGAAAATCTAGCTGAACCTGTTCTATCAATGCATAACTCCAGATTTAATATATCGGCCATTTTTTTACTCTCTGAAATGCCAAAATTGATGTAGTTAAATAGGCATAAATAGACGATTTATATAAAGTTAGATTTTAATGGAGAAGATAAATGAGTATTTTTTGCTGTGCTATCATACCTTCAGCTTATGTTTGCACTTGCAGAGCACATAGATGGGCAGAATCAAGAGGATCAGTCCAAAAATCACCACTGTTATGATATATGATGGCACTTTAATTTCGTTGATAGCTGCATAAAGAAAGAAGAAATAGATGCGCAAAGTTGACTGAGAAAAAGAAAGTGTTTATGTAAAAAAGGTTACTAACAATTATTATTCAAAATATACAGCTTAATTCCTACGAATTAGAAATCTAACAATAAACCTTTATTTTTT